AGCAAGAAGAGACTCGAACTGTCACGTTTTTGGTCTTTATTGTGAATAAATGTGTTGTTCTTTAACTGCTAAGTCCTGCATTTGACTCCTGCCTGTACATAGACCTTTACAAAAGGAACAGTTTCTTCCATATTCCCCAGTATACTGTAGGGTTCTCCACGACACACCTACTGTATAAATTTAGGAAACACTATTTACAAAACAAGTTTAATAGTAGCGATGTACCACTCAGTACTTGTTGACCTACTGATTTTTTTTTAATTCAGTCATTTATATCACATGAATCACAACAACATTCATCTCAAAGTTGTTTATATTGTAACATAAAGATGCTACAATTATAGGGAAAAACCTGACCAATTATTGGACCCCATATGAGCAAGTGCTTTGAAAATAGTGGGAAGGAAAAACTCCCTTTAAACAGGAAGAAACATCCAGCAGAACCAGGGTCGGGGTGGGGCAGCCACCTTGGGGTGAGGGAAGAAGACAGGACAAATACATGCTGTAGAGCCAGAGACTAAACACGTATGTGTTCATGTGTTCATGGATGCATCATGAGAAGCCCTCAACAGACCTATTGCAACGTGACCAAGGGAGGTCTGAGGGTCATCTGATCCTGTCCTAACTATATGTTTCCCAAAAAGGAACGTTTTAAGCCTGAACTTAAAAGTAGAGAGGGTGTCTGTCTCCTGAATCCAAACTGGGAGCTGGTCCCTGTGAGGAAGTGTAACGCAAGTGGTAAGGAAGGTGACAGGTAGACATCATCAGCAGATATTTTCTGGCCTAAAGGAAGAATGTGTTTTAAAAACAGAGTAGGTCTCAGCACGGAGCCCTGAGGAACTCCACATAGTAACTCTGTAGATTCAGACATAATCTGGTTTGCAGACAGACTGAAACTCCAAAAACCACTCAAGGACAGAGCCAGACAACCCAACCAGATCTCTCAGTGTGTTTATCGGGATGGTAGGATTAACTGTTTATCCAGGTGCGCTATAAGGTGGACAGTAACGGCCTTCTCAGAAAGTTTTGACATAAAGGGAGTTTGAAAGTAGGTCTATCATGTTGATGTAGTGTTGAATCCAGGCTGGGGTTTACAATGGCACGTTTAAAGCTGGGAAACGATTAGGAAACATGAAACATTAAAAAAGTTTAAACCCAAGAACCAATAGTATCAAAGGCGTTGATAAAAAGCTTAGTGGGGAGAATATCTGAGGGACCTGAAGACGGCTTCAGCAGTTGATCTACTCAACAAAAAATCAAAGAATTTTGTTACTGTCTCC